CCAGGAGGGAGGGAGGGCATCGGCGCAGGCACCGACCCGTGATGCCGGCTCCTCTTCCTGGAAGGAACTTAGGTACGACGGGAGACGTAAAATGGCTCATAGAACTATCCAGCATGATCCGACGACTACTGCGGGAGCCTGCTGGGCGCGGGGGTCAGAAGCCGGTGGCACAGGTGTTAGGGCCCCATCCCGAATGGCTCGGAGCGACGGCGTCTTTGCTGGAGATGCTCAGGGAGCCATCTTCCAGAAAAGCAGCCGATGCAGAGGAAGGGGCGAGGCAAGGCGGCTCTAGGAGCAGACAAGCAAGGAGGAGGCGGCAGTGAGCATATCCACGTCCCTGGGGGTCAATCCAGGGGACACTCCCTGTGAGAGGAGAGGAGGCAGGTCCTGGCCCTGCTGCCCCCGCCTGGCCCCCCTCAGTCAGCTGGGGCTGCCGTCGGGCGACATCATGCCTGGTGTCTGAACAGCAGACGGGTTCTCCTCACAGGTCTGGAGGCTGGGGCTCCCGGTGGGGGCACCAGGAGACGCCGTGTCTTCTGAAAGCTCCTTTCCCAGCCTGCACCCAGGGAGAGCCCTCTGGTGACTCTGCTCAGACAGACACTGTGGGGTTGGGTCCACGCTCGGCCTGATTAACCCTTAATACTCCCAGAGGCAACATCTCTAATGCAGCCACAAGGGGTAAGGGGCTCAGGGTGTGCGTCCGGGGGTGCGAACACCCAGTCTGTGACAGGGCTCACCAGGAGCAGGGCACGCCCAGGGACAGCCGCAAGCAGATGCAGTGAGCACACGCCCCGTCTTGCGTGACGAGACTATGAAGAAGCGCTGCCCCCGGACCTGCTTCACCAGCCCGGCCTCCCTTGAGGCTCTGGAGACACGGCCTCCCCTGGAGGGACAGGGCTCAGATCCACCCCTGCCAGGCTCCACGGTGTGTGTGCGGGACCGGACCCCACGGGCTGAGCACAGAGCACGTGAACGGCAGGGAGGCCCAGCCAAGGTCCACAGGCTGCCCTGTCCCAGGGCGAGAGAGCTCCACATTCCACCGAGAGCCAGGACTCCTTCTCCCCTTTCCCTGTCTCACTGGGCTCTGTTTGTTGATGCTGCCCCCTCTCTGACACTTGTCTGCATTAGATGCTCCCGTCAGCAAGACGCACGGGCTGGATGCAGCAGGGAGACCTCGGGCTCTCTGTCACCCATGAGCCGTGCTTCTCCACCACAGGAGCTTATCCCTCTGGCCAGCGAGTCCCCGGAGGAGCCCACGCTGCTGGGCTTCTACCTGGGGAGAAGGGCCCTGATGGACCCCTGGGCATAAGGGAGGGGTGCTGGGGCTCCGGGGACTCTCCATCCTGGAGGAAACAGCTTTGGTCAGGCCCCACCACAAGGGCCCTTTCTGCTTCTCCTCTTGCCTCGCCTGCCCCCCGTCTGTCAGCTCTCAGTTTCCTATTTTGCGAACAGTGACATTCACAATAGTGGAAAATCCCAGTCTTGTGCAGGAGCAGAGGGGTTAATGGAAGCACTGGCCCACCGTCCGTGCAGAAACCAGGTAAGTAACATTTAAAGACCCTGCTGCTTCCACAAACCCTCAAACGCCAGCATGAGAGTCAACATTACAGACAGATTTTGAGGCCTCGTTACCCCTGGACACTGAAACGCTCCAGGTCCCGTCCTTCCCAAAGGTAAGGTTTTATGGAAGCTTTAATGAAATTAACTCGCCCATTTCTCAGTCAGGAAGCACAGATTAAGATCCAATTTTTGTAGCCTGACTTTTTTCTCACTGCACAGTGGAAATGAACCCAGAAAGTTTCTAGAATTTCCTCTACAACGCACAGCTTGAGGGGATCTTTAGATCCCCTTTAAATCCTTTAGAATCTTTAGAATTCTTGATGGAAAAGGCATGGTAGAGAAATCAAGTTTGTTTCGACAGCCAGCCAGGACGGCGGCCACATAGCAGTGAGCTGGGCCTCATGGGCCTGCCACAGGACCTCGATGGGCCCCTGTGGGCTCAGATGACCTGGAGGCTGTCCGCCTGCATCAGTGGGAGGTGGGGGGTAGCATCTGGTTAAGAAGAGCGAGGCCTTCAGGCGGGTACTGGGACAGCTGCCTAGACTCTTGGGAATGTTGGGCCGGGGTCTTTCTGAGCCCACAAAGCCTGGCCTGGCTGGCACAGCTAGATCCGTCCAGAGAAGAGGTGACCCAGTCCCCACCCAACCGCCCGGGCAGGAGGTTAGGTCGGCGAGGCTGTGCCAGCGGGAGAAGGCAAGCCACTAGCCCCACCCGGGTGGCCCCAAACCTGGCCCCACCTGTCCAAACGGGCCTCAGTGGGAGCTGGGGTCACCAGTAGTGCCATAAGCACCTCACCAAGGCTGGTCTGGGGACCACAGCTCTCCACCACACTTTGCACGCCTCTCTCCCTCATCACATCACAGACCTTCTTATGCTGCACAACTGCTAAAATGTCCCGAGTCACCCCAGCAAACTGACTTTTTTTTTTTTTTTCCCCAGCAAACTGACCTTAGAGGGACTGTCAAAAAGCCCTGGGCATGGGGACGAGGCCTCCCCAAGAGAACACGAGGAGGGGCCCGTGGGACGTCTGGACAGTGCCCCCACCCCGGTACAGAAACCTGGGCACAGCCCCTAGTCTCCTGGAAGCCCCCAGGACCAGTCACCAGCTCTGAGCCCACAGCTGGCTCAGCCGCACTTGGAGGTCCCACTGGCGGGGTGACTGCTGATTTTTAATTTTAAAAAGTAATTCAAAACCCCTGAGGAGCGGTTACTCTCAACTTCTGCTCAGAACACAGAAGCTGGGAAGGACACCGTCCCACCTTAAAGCGCAGTGTGGTACCACCTTCTGATATATGGGTGTTCTCGGCCTATCAGAGACCTGAGGCCAAGAGCAACTGAGAACCCCAAACCCTAGACACCAGAGCTTCCAGAGAGAGGCAGGAGCCAGACGTGGGGACACTGCACGGGACAGTGCCGACAGCACTCACACGCGGCGGTGAACGTGACCGGCGAGAGGACGCTGTGGGTATGGAGGCTGTGGGACAGCAATCTGCCCGGCCTACAGCTCCCCACAGAGGAAAGAAAGCCACGAGGGGGTCTTGGTGCAGGCCAGGGGAGGGCACCAGGCACTGTCGCCTGAGGGCCTGGGGATCCCCCAGCACCACTAGGGAAGGGGAACAGAATCCCTGTCCCCCGGGAAGGGGCCCTGACCCAGGAGTCTCCACCCAGATGCAGGACCTTGGCAGTGAGGGGCCCAACACTTGACAGCCTGGGGTGGGGGCTGCCTCAGCACAGCCTGCAGATTAATAACTGCCCCTCACCTCCTCTGAGAAGTCCTCCAGCCCACAAGAGCCTCCTAGTGACCTCCCCTGAGGGCCACCCCTACCCCGTGGGACCCACAGTTGTCTGCCACCCTCCAGGCTATGTTTTCGCTGCTGGCCATGGACGTTTGGGTGATGGACACCTGGTTGGCACCCTTTTAACCCAAAGAAAAAGTGTGTGGTTTAGTGAGGAGGACTGACCTGGGCTGAGAGCTGGGTGAACCCCAGGCCTGGGCTGTGGGAAGTCCCACAGACCCGTGTCAGGGATGAAATATGAGGTAGCACGGGGAAGCATGGGGGCCCAGGGGAATGGGGCTGCCCTAGAGGGGTCCTGGGCATGGCTGATGTCTTGGCTCCCAGCCCCCAGGACCACCCCTGTCCCAGCAGACCCGATGGCCACCCAGCCTCGTGTGGGTGGCCACCCCTCCAGGGCAGGTGGCCTTTCCATCATGGCTGGCGACCAGCCCAGAGCAGAGCAAGGGCATACATGAGTGGGCTCCCAGATCTGGGACATCGGGGGGGGGGCGGGAGGGAGCCCCGTGTAGAGCCCTCACTCGCAGAGCAGGCTCTCTGAGGCCAGCCGTGGTCAGAGGATCTGGGATTCCCACTCTATAAGAGAAATGAAGGCCACGGTGGGGGGCCCAGCTGTACGCACTAGGCAGAGTTCTCCACAGACCCCTCATCTTCCCTCACAACGGGTCTCCGGAGGAAGTCGGGGTTGAGGACAGGCAGAGTCCTCAGGAAAACCGCCCTCCCTCTCCTGGGGGCCTGGAGAAGGCCGGCAACACAGAGCGGCTGAGTCACCCCTCAGACACGTCTGGGTTTACAAGGAGTCCGGGCCTGGCCGGTCACATTGCAAGCCGCTCCCCAACGTGTGGGAGGTGGGGCAGACTGGGGCTCATGTCGGCCCAGGGCCTCGGCCAGCCATCCTCACTGCAGCCCCAGGCATCTTGTGTAGCGACGCGAAGCTGTGCAGAGGTCGACCCTGGCAGAGACCGGACTCGGCTTGGCCGCAGCCCCCGCCCCTCCCCAGCGCCCCCCCTTCACTCATTCATTTTCCTGACTCCCAAAGACACGGAGTAAGTCATGATTTTATAAGAAGTGCAGACTTAATTCGAGATGATGGCGACAGTCACAGGCTCTGAAGTGGGGTGGGGACAGTTCCTTTTCTCCCCCAGGACCTGAGCCAGGCCACAGGGAGAAGAAGGCCCGGCCGAGAGCATCTGACGGAGGAGAGCTCCCCACACACAGTGGCGGCGAGGGTCTGACACGCCTGGCACCCCTTAGCAGAGGGGCTGGTGGCTGGCCAGGGTCACAGCAGCCCCAGGACACGCGAAGCAACAACACGGGAGGTTGGCTGCCCGACAGCTACTCCGGCTAATAGGGGAACGTGGCCTCCTGAGCTCAGTGCCGTCCTGCTGCCCCACGAAGCAGACCTGCTTGGCCCTCCGAAGCCCCTTCCGCAGGGCCGCTCTGGCTCCTCAGCCTTCAGTGACTGCTCCTCTGACTGACCCCCAAAGACAGGCCTGGCCTGTCCCAGCAAAGTGGGGGGTCCCAGGTGAGTGACACCCAGCTGGGAGCATGCGGGCACAGGAGAGGGTACAGGTGACTCCCAGACACACGCACATGGACACAGGAGACACCCAGACGGGCACATGTGGGCACAGGCGAGAGACTCACCTTGGAAGAAGCTCTTCACGCGAAGGTAGCTGACGCTGAGGCGCAGGACAGAGAGCTTGTCAAGCTTCGACACGATGTCGGGAGGGAGCGGCAGCAGGCTGGCCAGATGGTCCAGCTCGGCGTTGAGGCGGTCCCGGTGCCGCTTGGAAGGGTTTGACTTCTCGGACCCCGTGGCCGGCCTCCTGTGGGGAGGCACGCACAGTCAGACTCGGGGCTCCCCACCAGCGCCTGTCACCCGTGAGCTGCAAACCCGTCCCCGGAAGTGACCTTATAGTGCAATCAGCTTTTAAATGAAAAAGGTACTGAGAAGGACAAAAGTCTCCTGACGCTGGGACGCCTGGTGGCTTGGTGGGTTGGGCGTCTGCCTTCAGCTCAGGTGGTGGTCCTAGGGTCCTGGGATCAAGCCCTGAGTCGGGCTCCCTGCTTAGCGGGAAGCCTGCTTCTCCCTCTCCCGCCCCAAGATCCCGCTTGTCCTCTCTCTGTCTCTGACAAATAAATAAATACAAACTTTAACAAAAGTCTCCTGGCCCTGTGCACACAAGGTTGCGGGGGCCCCATCACCGAGAGGGGCGCTCCCAGAGTGAGCAGGCCTCTCGGGAGCACAGCTGCGAGCCAGCTGTGTGGCTCCCACAAACTTCCTGACCTCTCTGTGCACACTTTCCCCCAAGCGGGAGGAGGACCCCTGGCCCCAGCTGCACGTGCTCAGCTTCAACAAACGACCTTGTCAGGACCTGCTGGTATGACCAGCCCCTCCGGCCACAGGGTGGAAAGGGTCGGAGGAGAGTCATTGCGGAGGACGCCTGGGCGCCATCCTGCCTGCCCCACTCGCCCATCGGAGGCCGTGAGGTCACGGCTGTGCCTCCGGCGGGTGGCTGGAGCCCTGGGTCCCACGACAGAGCCGCTCTCCCCCACGAGGGAATTCCCCTGGCCCTGGTTTCCCTGCCCACCACCTCCTCACGCAACAGAGCTGACCCCAGACCCCAGCCGCTTCCCAGTGACCTCCCTCATCTGCCTGTCTGAGGCCCCGGGATGACAGTCCCCTTCGTCTGACCCTATTTCCCGCCTCACAGAAACAGCGTCTATAGGCCCTTCGTAAACATCACGCACACAAAAGCATCTGAAGCCAAATGAGTCAGGTCCAGTAGCTGGCATGGGGAGGGGCCGCCGGCAGGCTCGGGAACGGGGTGGCCTGTCTCCCAGGGCCATCCCTCCCTGGGGCGCAGCACCTGGCTGGCAGGAGAGCTCCTGCTGCTTTTAGGGGCTGGAGTGTCTTCTGGCTAAAAGTTCCTACTTTTCACAAGGATGGAGAGGTCGAACAGTCTGTCAGGAGACCCCAAGCACAAACCTGCTTTGCAGAGTCTGAGGGCCCAGACCACAGAAAACACATGAAAGTCTGCTGCTCCAGCCCCAGAGGCCACATCTTTGTCCCTCTTTTCGTTTCTGTTCTTGTTTTTTGTTGTTGTTTTTTGTTTTTTAAAGATTTTATTTACTTGACAGACAGAGGTCACAAGTAGGCAGCGAGGCAGGCAGAGAGAGAGGAGGAAGCAGGCTCCCCACCGAGCAGAGAGCCCGACACGGGGCTTGATCTACGACCCTGAGATCATGACCTGAGCCGAAGGCAGAGGCTTTAACCCACTGAGCCACCCAGGTGCCCCTTGGTTTTGTTTTTTTGAGGTATAATTCACACAACACTAACCATTTCAAAATGGACATTCACAGTGCTGCGTAGTCACAACTCTAGGAAGGTCCAAACCATTCCATCGCCCACATAAACTCCTGCACCCACTCACCGGTGTCTCCCCATTTTCCCTCCACCAGCCCCTGGTGACCACCAGCGGCCGAACGTCTCCTTGGTTTGCAGTCCCAGACCTTTCATGCACCTGGAATCCCAGAGTGGGAGACCGTTTGTGTCCGGCATCTTCCATGTATGTTATGTTTCTGGCTCCACTTGTGGTGTGACACTGACCGGGACACGGGTCCCCCTCCTGGCTGCATGGACGGTCCACACTGCATGTCCCTGCTCCCCAGAGGACGGGCGCAGGGCACCGTCCAGAATGCTGCAGAGATGCTCGAACAAAGACTGTGTGTGAACCCCATTCCAGTTCTCTCGGGCACAAGCCCTGGGAGGACAGCTGGGTCAGGGTGCCTACCCCGTTCCGCTCTCGGGCCGCAGCAGCTGCCCCACCGACACCCCCATGGTCTGGCTCCTCCGTGACACGTCATCTTCCTTCTCCCACAGAACGGCTGCTTGCACAGGAGGGAGAGCATCTCACCGCAGCCTCATCTGGGTTCCTCTGACAACCAGCAGTGCAGAGCGTCTTTCCACAGGTGTCTCTGGATAAATGTCTACCCGAGTCCTCTGCCCATTTTCTCATGGGGTTGTCTTTTTCTTTTCTT